CTCTTCATGTCTGGCGCTCATTGATTGAATAATTCTCTGATTGCCAGGATCGCAAGAAAGCATTTGTAAGTTCTATAATTAATTATATATTGCCAGAATGGCAATGCATTAAAGGAACATTATAGTGTATTATAGGAATGCAAATCTGTATACCAAACTCTAAAGTGTCCCTCTAAATAGGTCCTCCAGAGAATAAAAATGAAAAATGCCATGGAAGAGGCCCTGTCTCCTCTGTAAGGGTCCAATACAATGCTTCTCATAGCGAGCGCCTGTGCGCGTCTTCAAACTTTCCCTTAGGAAAGTATTAAATTAATGCTTTCCTATCTGGCTTCCATGTCACATGATTAAGAAAGCCCATAGAGGAAGATTTAGCCCTGCAATGTAAACCTTGAAGTTTCTCAACTAGTGCAATGTTTTACATTGGGTGGTTAAGGGGACAGGGACACTGCACCCAAACTACTTTATTGAAATTAAGTGGTCTGGGTGACTAAAGTTTTCCTTTAAATAACGATTTTGCTAACTGGATTTGGCTCCCCTTTTGACAGGTGGAACTCCTGGGCCTGATTACAATATTGACCATTGCGACTGACAATTCTGTAAGTGTCAATATTTTTATATGGAGTAGATAAGCACAAGTGATGGTCTAATTTAATCAAATAAACTGTTTAACAGAGTTTTAAAGGATCACTATAGGGTCAGGAACACAAACATGTATTCCTGACCCTATAGTGTTAAAACCACGATCTAGCCCAACTGGGCCCTCATGCCTCCATAAATATAGCATATACCGTTTGCCTTAAAAAAAAACAAGCAGTCTGCTGACATAATCAGAAGTGGTAGCCTGATCCAATCACAGTGCTTCCCCATAGGATTGGCTGAGACTGACAAAGAGGCAGATCAAGGGCAGAGCCAGCATGATTCAAACACAGCCCTGGCCAATCAGCATCTCCTCATAGAGATTAATTGAATCAATGAATCTCTATGAGGAAAGTTCAGTGTCTGCATGCAGAGGGAGGAGATACTGAATGTT